TTGCTTTAATGGTAAAATACTTGACGAGGATTTTTTTGAAACGACTATCTAGAATATTCTAGTTCGCGCAGTAGGAGATAAACGGTCTCAGAGAAGAAGATCGCTGCCAGATTAGCTTCGTAACAATTTATACTCCTCGATTGACAAACCGCAAAAACCAATTACACATGATCTAGTACTGTCCAAAAAACTTTAGCTAAAGCAGATACAAAAGATAATGAAAACAGAGCAGAGGAAAGGAACGATAGCTGCACGATATGATTGTAAAATAGTACCTATCATGACTGGTGAGCCAACTGTCTGGAAGTGCATCATCAGTTCCCGCGCTCGTTCTGCAACTTCACTTCCAGAATTGGTGATTATGTATCTTGATTCATAGCCTAAACAAATTTTATAGGCAAATGACAACTAAAAAAATTACAAACAAACAACAACATCTACTCATTCACTAACCGAGCATGTGATCCAGCACAAAACCGATTTCGGTGCTGCCAATCCACTGCCTGCTGCCAATAAACTTTTCTTCCTTGTCTTTGATTTCCACCAAACACTGGAAACAACACCGCTAGTGCATTAATTACAAACAGGACAGGACTCACCTTTTGTATGTCCAAATGCGTCGGCACTGGCTTATCAGTGAATCCATTGAGGATGAACCAACTCCAAATTGACTGCAGACTTCGATAAGCACAACCCCATCCTATACAGATATATACAGTGGAACACATTTCGAGCTCCATACCCATACTTACCAGAATCGTCCATTCCGTCCTGCATGTAATGATGATAGTTATAATCACCTTTAACTGTGGCTACCACTCCTCGCGGTTTATCTGAATAACAATAATATTTCACTGCTTTTAATACATATGTTAATGAAAAAACTCAGATAGTCAGACTACAGACTGCAAATCAATCAAAATCTCATTAGCTAAAATTGTTGAATCGGAGCATTAAACAAGGAAAAAATTAAGAAACACCAAAGGCATTTGATCAAACTAATGTGATATGAATATTCAAAACTGACAGTTCTTGATTTGGAGATGCGGTGAGCGCAACAGCTTCGTAGGTGCAAATGAAATGGATTGAGCTGGGCGAAGTGCTGGAGCATTTAATGGCAGGTTGAAAAGCTTATGTAAGCGTACGCGAAATGAATCTGAACGAATAGCACTGGATTACAGTAGAATTTGAAAACGATTCTGTAGCAAAGAAAAACCTACGCTGCTCTTTCTCGCTACATGTAGGAGTTTCCACATGAAGGAAACAGGACCAGCCAGAAGGGAGAAAAGTATGTGAGACGGTGGAATACACAGCACCCTTAACAAACTCAAACTTGAAGGTTGAAAATGAACATGCAGGCGAGAAATTCTACTAATTACCTGATTAGACAACCCATCTAGCATCACATTCATCATTCCACAAACTCTACGCCGTACACCTTCAAGCAATCGTTCATACAAGGCATTGGGATCGTCTCCATAAACAGCTGGGACAGCCACCTCGAGCGCTTTGCGGACACGAGTGTACTTGGTTCCGTCTAAAATGAGGACTCGATCAAAAGTGCTTTGTCTACCATATAATCATTTTGCGCACAACTCTTCTTTAGACTCAAGTCAGTGTCCCGACAAATCGTTTTCCAGTTTTTTACCTTTCGGGGGTTTCTCGCCGTAAGGAACCCATATCTGGGCTTTTGC